ATAACGACTGCTTGTCAAATGCTGTTTTACACGCTGACATTCTGCAGCATAATAGGCAGGAATCGGTGCTCGGAAATGACTTTGAGAAGAATGATACAAGGCAAAAATGGCTGGTTACAAAGATCATTGGCATCGCTTGGGTATTCAATACCGTGCAATCCAGAGACGTGGCACCGTGATGATCTGGAGCGAGTTTTGAATCTTTTAAAGTCATTCAAGGAGTACTTATACTCTGTTGTTCCTGGTGTTTCGCTGATGCTTATCGAGTATGTGCTATGCCTCAGCGGTGACGAAGAACGACTGTCAGACGTAAAATTGTCGTTTGACTTTCCTGTCGCTAAGCAGGCAAACTATCGGAAATTGTCATATGACGCTAATCGAAAAAACATTGTGCATGACGGAATGCACGAAACGCTGAACAATGAATTCATAAAGGCGAGGTTTCCTGGAGACCAAAGATTGCACGAGGTACGACGGATGTTGTGCAGCTCGGAGCCAATTTTGGTCGCTTTGAAACGTGCGGTTGGCATGAACGATCAGGAGTTTCGTGAGGACCAGGAGCGCTTCCTTTATTCTGCCTGCCTCCGCATGATGACCTGTCCCATTGCTCGAGGTATGTTCACGATGAAATCGTCGAAGCCGCTGGTTGGTCAACGAGTGCATATCCCTGAACTGAACTTCGCCGGCAAAACGCCGCAGAATTTACCGATCGACTTGAGTCACATAGAGGTAGCGTCTAACATACGAACTTGGCCTCAATTTCACAACGGCGTGGCGGCGGCGTTGATGGCTTGTTCGAACGCTGACACTGACCGCGAACTGAGCTCCACATGGATCAGCTACAACCTACCGAGGCTGGGCAGGGCCGCGAGCAAGGTTTTGCCGGAACAAGCCGGTTTCGTTCTTGGACTTGGACTCAACGGCCATCTAAAGAACTTGGCACTGTTCAACATTCACGAATATTTAGCCAAAGGCGACGCGATGCTCAGTTGTGCGATGTTGATCGGCGTGGCAGCGTCCAGACGTGGTACCGCGGACGTGACGGCCTTCAAGATGCTGGCCACCCACCTACCGTTCTTGCTGCCGTCTTCTCTTCTAGAACTAAACATCGATCCTTTAGTGCAGACGGCAGCCGTTATCGGCGCCGGATTGTTGTTCGCTGAATCTTCCAACAGCCGTTTATCCGAGGCGATGATCCGTGAAATTGATCGTCCGGCATCCGTGAACAATGATTGTTTCGTTGACAAAGAAGCATATGCACTTTCCTGCGGTCTTGCACTTGGATTCATCAATCTTGGTAAAGGTAATTCCAAATTTGCCAGTTCTTGGATTAATTTGCATACTTTGTATCCGGAATGTAAAATTTTTACGTCATATGAATTCAAGCTGTGTCAGTATGACAGAATAACACATTTACTATGATCCGTTAAATGAATTTAATAAATAGTACTAGTAATAAGTGGCAGAATTACTTATTTTCAATGATGAATAAACAAATGGTTGGGATCCTGGAAGTGATATTTATTAAGTGGAGCGGAGCTAACGATGATGGTCATTATTTATCGTACAATGAAACTTTTTTTGCTAGTGATTAGGTAACTATTGCTCTGCCTAATAGCTTTTTTAGAGTTTTTAACCGTTTTTTTCATATCATCGTCGTCATCATCATCAACACCTTTTCTCATCCACTGCTGGATGAAGGTCTCTCCAGACTTCTGATTAAACTTTGGTTTTTTGCGTTTTTATCCATCTTCATTTAGTGATCAAATGCGCATCATCTTGCAATCTATTTGGAGATATTTCTACAGTCCATTTACTTTTTTGGAATCGTGTATAATGCGTCTTGCTGGTTTAATGATGGTCAGTTCTTCTTTCAGCGAATCCTGTCCATTACGCTGTAACTTCTTCGCTCATACAGTAACATCGCAGACTCATGTTTGTTCTGTTACTCATTTACTCATGTTCCTGTTTCTTGTTATTCCCAACGTTCTCTTTCCATGCTGCCTTGTGTAGTTTTCAGTTTATGAATTGCTTTGGGCTTTAGGGTCTACGTTTCGCACCCATGGTTTAACACTGAAGGCACACACTGATTGAAAACTTTCTGTTTCAAGCGTTTCTTTATTCCTCTATGTTAGATAGAGTCTGTTGATGTATTTTCCAACTGATTTATTTGCGAAGTTTGTTTTCTATTTCTCGACATCTAATGATTAAGTTAATTTTTAGATGCTTTCATTAGGCGTTTTATTGTCATATTTGTAGCAGTTTCATTGCACGAGCTGTATTTGCTTGTAACATCTTGCATAATCATATCGATGTATTACAGCAAAGGAAATAATAAATTGGGAGCTCTGTTATTGAAGGTATGGATGCATCGGTTAGTATTAGCGTAGGGTTGGGACCTGACAGCGAGGATTTTAATATTTCCTGTTAATTCACTCTATTAATATAGTGGTCGATGGAACGTTAGACTTGCAGTCGGAAGGTCATGAGTTATAATGTCGGCTTCTTCATTCGCTATTGCCATGTTGGAATAGAGGAAATGACTGTACCGTTTATTTTTTATCTAACTCTGAACGTGACCTTTAAGAAACTAGGATGCTTTTCGCTGGTGGCATTGTGACTGAGATCAATGCCACACCATAGATATCAGATGGGGGTATTTAGGGTGCTACAGTTTGAGGAAGCGCGCGAAAGGCATCGGCATCGCAACAGTTATAACCTGTCCTTTCCTTGAATGTAAAATTGTCTCACTTGTATTACGTTGCAACCGACTGTACCATACATAGTGCAGTAAGTTTGTGAAACTGCGGTCTGATGCTTTGACTGGTTAGTTTATATCCTTTGGTCTGCACTATTCCTGTATTACTACTCTGATTCTGTAGAGCACGTCGATTGGTCTTATCCAAACAGTCTGCTAAGTGGCATGTTTTATTTTTAAAACTCACTTCCCTTCCTCCAGATGGCTACGCTTTGGCTCATCGTTCCGTTACTTCTTATTGCCTAGGATACCGTTTAAGTATGTCACGATGTAATGGTATTTTGGTACCTGCAGTAAATGGGGAACAAACGTCACAACTTTGTGACGGTGAAAAAAAGCGTGTTTCCAAGGCAACATACATACCTCGACATATATAATAAAAATCAACTCTAGTATTATAGCTGTAAGCCGATACACTGTAGATGCTAAAATACCGTGGTGAGATGACTTCTTTTAAGCAGTCTTTTAGGCTGCGCGAAGTATCGGAACGGTGCGACTATTGGGCGCGAATCCGCAGTAATGCGCATATTGTTATTCTTGTCATTGGCAGGATCGAAAACTGGCAGCCTGCTAGTAAACCTATCATGCCAGAGCAAGCTATTATTATAGTTAAGTATAAATATGTTTCTTATTCACAATTTGTCCAAACGTTTAGTTTAGCATTGATCGATTTTCAAAATCATAGCACAAAAACAGTTAGCAAAAACAGTGTTTAAATCCAAAGCTGTTCTGATAAAGATCTTTTTTTAAAGGCGTATTTATTTTATTAAATTGATAAATATAAACTGAGCGTTCAACTTTTCTTAGGTGCCAGCGATTCGCGGTTCTTGTCAGATCTGGTGTTGTTGGCAAACGGTGGTCGACGGGTACAAAGCAGCTTCTATGCGGAAGAACAACCGAGCAATCTGGTCAAAGAAGGCGA